TGTAACGTTCAAACACTACTAGTTGAACAATCAACGACTACACGTCGCTTATCACCTAAAAAACAGAGCTCGCTTCGAACATGTGGGCGGGACTGTCTGATGCCGCACGCATAGAGGTACCCGACAGGAGGCCGTTGCGCGGCGAGAAGGCAGAGACGCAGACGGGTCAGCGGACGAGTCGCAGCGCGTACTGTAGCGATTTAGCGTCAAGAATAGAATGTGCTATAGTACGTCCCACATCGCACAACACGCGCTGCGACTCGTCCGCTGACCCGTCTGCGTCTCTGCCTTCTCGACGCGCGACTCTGTCGGGTACTTCACGCATAGGAATAGGGGACGCTTCCAGGAGCCCGCCCACATGGTCGCCGCGTTCTCTGCTTTCAGCGGTACAGCTACTTAACCAACGGGCTACTGGACACTAGGCGCTAGTTTCGTACGTTGTACGTTACTTACAAGTGGTAAAACCGGGCAACATGAGTGTATGTCATATCTGTCTTTGCTAGCATGCTTAACATTAATATTAGCGTGAGTGAACATTTATAACAAATTCGAAGTTCGACACCGACACCAGAATATCGGTCAATATACAATCGTAAGCTAGCAAAATATACTAATTCGAGAAATGTGTGATTAATAACACTCGAGCAGGAATTAGTGACGAAGGACGAATCTGGATTGGCTAACATGCACAACAACACGCTGACGTCACATGCCTACCGTACTTCTTGAGATTACGGTATTCATGCGGGCATCGTCAGGAGCGCTCAGCATCGCGCGCGCACATATGGACCATCTGCCCCGGTTAGCATGATTCGGCGAGAGGCGAGTTAGAGGCGAGTCTGAACAAGTATAAATGCTCAGACTAGTCCCGCCCACAAGAAGCACAAGGCCTTAGACGTCACAAACAATCACGGCCGATGATTTTTGTTTTTCATTTAACATTTTAAGATATTAACGCTTTGAGAAGAGAAGCATTGTGTTTTGCACATAGCGCTATGGATTTCACGGCAAAGCTACTGCGGCAGTTGTCATTTTTCTATTTTTTTTTCCTAGAGATGTGTACAGAAATGAAGTAGCATGTGTAATATGAATTACCCGTTAATATTACTGAAATGAAGAATATTCAATCAAAAAACAACACAGGCAGTGAGACATGCAAGCAATACGAATTGAGGCCATTCTGCTCATTTGGTCATTCCCAGCAATTTATTGACACTTCTGCGTACCACGCTAGACTAAACGGTACATAGGCGCTGTACAGCGGCATGCTCTTTCCCAAATAGACAGCAGTTTGAGCCTTCAGAGGCCTGGCAGTGTGTCAAGAAACAGCTGAGCGTAATGAAGTGACTTGTGAACACGCGCATCATTGAAATGGGCTTGAGATGAGGCTGTAAGAAGAAAGCATGATTTTCATCAGGTACCATCTGAGGGTTTAGGTGGAATGTCCCTTGAAAATATCATGGGTTTGAATCCAAAAAGCTGTCTTCCCTCAGTGTTCCTGATAAAATCCGAACAAGGATACCGGTCAGATCGCAAGACTTATCAGCACATACTGCTCGACGTAAGCTGTCATGCAGTATCAGCCGCAAAGCATTGGTCATGCAATCGGACCGTTATTCTTCAATATGCGAATGAGACGGAAAGGGCTAAAGCAGATGCTGAAACGTCCTTTGCGTGACTGTGGTGGCACTACGATTGCGCTTGTTGTTGTTCCAACTCTTGTGATGGTTGTTGCGGATCGTCTATGAAGGGGATTTCGCTGAGAAGCAACGACGACATCGTCATCGACGGTTCACGTTTGTGAAAAATCTGAACACACACACAGCCAGCTCACCACAATCGGCTACACCACTAAGATAAATCAATGGCCACAGTAAGGCGCTCAAATCAAAGAAGTGCAACCCAATTTAACCACAGCTATGGCTGAATTACAAACATGCCCAAATAGAAATCTGGCTAAGAAGTTCTTACTAGAATAAAGCCACCCTTGTTGTAAGCGTCCAAGGGCGCATTCATAGTCGATCGTCCGATCGTAACGTTCGCACAGCATTGGATGCGTATCGATCGTCAGATGTGTCCGAGGATTGGACGATCGATACGTATCTAACGCTGTGCGATCGTTACGACCGGACGCCCGACTATCAATGCGCCCTAAAAGCCATCACGCCTCCATGGTGGGCGAGACGGCGATGAAAATATGTCATCGACAGTGAATGTGGGAACCACATCACCACCCTAGGTGTCCCAATTCACAGTGCTTTCACTCACCATAAAAATGGGACACTAGAGGGGCGACGTGTTTTGTAGCCGTACACAACAGCCGTCATTGGAAAAGTTATGTGTCAAAAACAGTCTACTAAATCTAACCACCTCTTCTGTCTGCGAACTAAGAGCGAAATTATGACAGTAAAACATACCAATTGAGAAGATGTGCTTTAAGGTTTAGAATGAGATCATCTCATAAACGCGTACTATTCTTTGGCGCCTTACTGTGGTTTATATGAAGAAGAAAAAAGCGAAAAATAGCATAACCGCATAAGATTGTTCATTTATTCGCACTCGCGAACTCTTACAAGTCCTTTTTGTACGGGATCGAAAATCCGATGCCAAGCAGTTCCGGATGAAAACGGGAGAATGCCAGATGAAAATAGTGCCCTTTCGTCCACGTCTCAGACCAGGAGTAGATGACCATCCCAGGTGTGCCACCACATTCGAAAGTGAGTTATTTCACCACCACCACCACCTCCACCAACACTTCCAACTCAAATTACGATGCACACATATAGATGCAATACCACCACACACAACATAGCTACCTGTTAACAGATCTGCATGCTTTCAATCTGTCTTACACCAACAAAAAGCGGAGCAAAGCTTGACAATGTCTCGCTTATGTCCAAGAAATTCGCGCGCTGCCCTATGTGCAGTGGCTGTAGTTTAGAGTTGACCAGGCATCGGTTTACTCACAAATTCGTCCTCTTCCTCCTGCAGTGGTTCCCGTTCATCGGCTTTCGCGTTTGAACTGGCAAATAACCGCTCAACCTGAAAAAATTCAAGCATTCACAGTATATTGAGCATGGTTGTTCTTTCCAAATTTATACCATTGAAATAGGATATGAATTTTCTGTTTATACCAAAATCATATGAAGGCTGCACTGACATAAAAAATATCATGACTCCGGAAACCAGAAGAATAAAGGCATTTGGATACTGCGCCCAGATAGGGTTGCGCGCTAACTACATAATACCTAAGTACCATACCAGCGGTTTGTTCTTGAAACCCACCGCAAGTGCATGAAAGGTGCTAAAAGAAAGGGATTTGGCACTGCTTGAATAAAAAACGGAAATTCCTTCCAAACTAAACAATGACTTTCTTCGT